TTGATACGATTCCAATGCTTTCCCTTCTTATGTATACATAACAGCCGGGAAATTAAGAATGTTTAGAAATGCATTTAATTTATTGCTACAGAATATTTTGACTATTTTAGAAACGTTTAAATAAAGGATCAAAGAAAAATATGTGTTGTTAGGCTATTTACTTTCAAAATTGAAAAAAATAATAATAAATAGGGTCATTTTGACTCTCACCATCTCACTTAAATATTAAAACTCTTCCTTTCCTTTGCACATTTTTACACAACGAATTAGAATATTCCAGCTCGTTGTCTTTACACAACACAAAGGTACGCCTCCTGACTAAAAGGAAAATGGCGGACGTGTATTTAATTTTCTTTAAACATGGCGTCGTTACAGCCACTCTATGTAGTATATTCGAGCTCGCTGCTATGAACACACATTGTTGTATGTTCATATGTGTTCGGCCAAGTCCACAATAGGACTGAATGGCGAAAAACAGGGCACGACATATCTGGGCCAACTCACTTCTGAAATCTCTGGTCAAACACATCGGACTTGAATCAGGGTTCTCAGAGCGGCATGTTGGTTCCTTTACTACATTTTTCATTTTTTCGGTGGCTCCTTCCGCTCTATGGGCGCTAAGAGAGCCTTCGTTATACCCATTGTGAGTTCGGCTAGGTACATAATGGAGAAGCGTATAGAGAGGGATGGACCGATCTGGACAAACTGCCATAAAAAACTGTTGGGGTATTTCCTCCGTTCTGATCTGATCCCAGTTTTTCTAGAGCGGTAGAAATTTCCAACAATCCGGCCTTCTTACCACATCTACTGCCTATAATTTGTGAATTGCAGATTATGTATGAGGCAGTCATTCATCACGGAAGCCAAAATCTCATGCTGTCTGGTCAATCGAAAGTTGAAAGACAACGTATCTGGTATAGCCTTCATTTAAATATCCAAGGAAGCATCCGCAAATAAATTTAACTCAATAATCGGTACAGAAACTACTTAGGAGTTGCTTAATGGCCAAAGCGGTGAAAGCATTTTCGCCATTTTTTAATATCTTTATGAAATTTATATTTGAATATTCATGTATTTTATTTTAAAATCATAAAGCTGGATAAAGGACCTCTAAGTTTATTGGGACAACTATTCTTTTTTAAAATATTTATATATTAAATTATTATAACTGTATTATTATTTCAATTTAAATAATTTAAGATCGAAAATTATTACGTAAAAATTTATTCGGAGATTCGTTTATTGCAAACAGAAATTTTTGTAAATCGAAAATGTCTTTTAATCTAACTGAAGAAAGATTTGAATATTTGGAAAATTCAAAATTTTCTGAAGACGAGAGGAATTCTTCCGATGTCAATAATTTGGAAAATATTTTAGAATCATCCCCATCCAGAATCAATCATCATAACTCGATGGATTCACAAGCTATTGTAGGAGGTGTTAAATTCAAGTTCACAAAAAGAGCGGAAAGTGGAGATAGCGAAATTGAATCCTCTGAAGTTAGGAAAAAAGTCATCTGTAGCTTAAGTTCCTTAATAGAAATGATTGGTGAGACCTTATCTTCCAAAGATATGGATGAGATCATTCAAGAGTTTGATCATCGCGATGGAAATGTAGACATACAGAAACTTCTTTTAATATTGGAAAAATTGAATGAAGAAGATGAACAAAGTTCAGATGATAACAGATCATCCTTGGACAATGTCGAAGAGTTACGAAGAAGAATGAAATGTTTAGGAATAATAACTAAAATATTAGGAAAGAATATAACAGAAGAAGATCTTCAAGACATGTTAGCAGAGGATTTAGATTTTCAAGAAAAATCGGGAACGATCGATTTTGCTAGGCTCTTGACATTGATGGAAGAAAAGATGACAGATTTTACATCAAGTGATAACAGCTGCGGAGAGATTGCAGAATTAGACAAAGATAAGATCTCGCTGACGGAGATACACAACGTTATGATTTCGTTAGGAAATGTGATGATTAACTTAGGTCAAAATATCTCTGATGACGAATTTTGGAACATGTTAAAGAAGGAAACATCAGGGGAAGATTTCGATTTCCCTCAACTTCTGGTTAACACGATGGAGAAGGAGATGATTGATAGAGACGATGATTCCGATATTATCAAGGATTTTCGCGTTTTCGATCCTCGGGGGACTGGTTACGTATACGTTGACGAAATTCGTAAAGTGATGATGAATTTCGGAGATAAACTCAGTGAAGAAGAAATGGAGGAATTTCTCAAAGATGTAGAAATTGATGGGCGTGGTCAGTTCAATTACGTGGATTTCGTCACTAAAATAACTTCAAAGCAAAAAGAAAGATTGTAATCTATGATTTTGCTTTCGGTTCTAAATTAATTCAAAATTATTCTTATTATTCCTCAAATAAATAAAAATTAAATCTTATTTTTATATTTTATTTTAATTTATTCAATAAAGAATATTTGTTTTCTTCTATAATATTACGCTTCATCTACATATATAAAAATGAATGTATGTGTGTGTGTGTGTNTAGAATTGAAACGACACTTTGAAATGTTTTCCCGATGAAAATGAATAATAATAATAAGTTTCAATAAAAATGATAAAATGTAAATTGAATTTTATCATAACGAGTTTGCTTGAATTTCCTTTCTTCTGAGATCGCAGCAATGCGCGACGGGTAAGCTAGTATTTAAATAAATACAATAGAGCATCGATTATCCGACTCAATTGGGGACTCAGGGTGATCGGATAACTGAAAAAATTGGATAACCGAAAAGAATGAAAAATATACATTATTAGTATAGTATATTAGTATATCCCGTGTAATTAGTATACAGTGAAAACTGCTTAGGCGACCACCTGCATTCGACGGGCACCTGTCAAAACGGGGAAAATTTCTGGCACCGAATAGTTTATCCATAGAGTCTTCGTATA